CGAAGTGCGGACGTTTCAGAAGTTAGCTTGCGCAGTAAAATTAGGGGGGCGGGGTGGGGGCGGAGGAGGGGGATTGGGACCAACTTGTCAAATAACATTTAACTACAGGCATATAACTTGATTCCCCGGGGAGTGACCAATCAAAGTTCGAACTATATGACCCAGTTACAAGCATCCAACCTGCTTGAACCCTCGTCTATTTTTGATGCAAATAGAAGTTCGAGTAATTTTTATGAAGTGCGAAGTGAAGTGTATTGTGATATAATTTAACTTATATATATATATATATATATATATATATGTATATATGTACTTATTTTTTCTTTACAATGTTTGTCAAAAATGTTTAATGTCGCTTTCGACAATCGTTCTTGTAATTGAGCTAAATATTATCCACTAGCGGTATAAATATTTCGATAAAAATCTTCAGTGTTCGATGCACGACAATTAGCACGAAAATTTTGTCTATTCGCTCCCCGAGGAAGGACAAGGTTGAAATTCAAATCCTTAGCGATATCGGTAAATAACGTGGCAATGCAAGCGCTTTTTCTATGCGTTTGCTGCTATACCCCTGATATGAAATGAATATATTGCGTAAATATTTTTTTTAATATTTATGGGCTTATAACAATTATATTCAACAGTTTTATTGAGCTTATGACCGTTTTTAATGAAAACTATTGCGGGGAAACCACATTAATTTGAATGGATCGATTCCCAGTAAAGCAGTCTGATGAGGAGATGTGTTGATCTCCGGTCGACCACCTCAACCGCCCCCACCCCCCCTGTAACCGGCACTGTAATTGAAAAAACAATACCAAATACTAGAAGCTTCAATCAAGTTCTCAATTGTGTAACTTAGCAGCAAGAACAATTAAAAATAATGGGAAGGTATGTAGTATACGATTGCGATGTTGGCAACGACGATGCATGGGGCCTAATGATGCTGATCAAAGCTGAAGAGTCATTCCAAAGGCATACCATAGATTTAGCCAGTGCATCAAAAAAGTTTGAAATAATTGGTGTCACATGCGTACAAGGAAACACTGAAGTAGATTATGCAGTGATAAACACACTCAGAGTGCTGGATGCAGTCAATAGAAATGATGTATGTACATACATTTGTATGTAAGCGAGTATTTTTTTCTGAACTAACATTTTTATTATCTGCACACATTACGCATCTATTTACATACATACATACAAATGTAGATTCCGGTTTACAAGGGTTGCAGTAATCTTATAAAACCGCGACCCTGGGAGAATCCCAAATATTTTGTTGGAAAGGATGGCTTTGGAGATTTGGAACACGAGAAGTCAGTTGATCTGAATCTAGTACGCCCGGAACATGCGGTAAATGCAATGTACGATTTTGTCTGCAAGGTACGCATCACTCTTCACTCTTCAATAAGTATGAAAATAAACACACAGCTCGACATTATCTTTTCCAGCATCCTAAAATGGTGGACTTCTTGTTGGTGGGGCCACTAACTAA